GAGTTGCCCTGTTCCTTCTTCCTCTGGGCAGAAATGGATGCCACACTAGGTCTTTGACAACCAGATCGAACCTTCTGCTTTGTTTCCCTTTTGCCCAGAGAGCGTTACTGGGGGAAATATGCAGATATGCTGTTTGTTTTCCTTGTTGCACTGGATCATATCGTCTATCATCTGGGGAATCTGAAACATTAATGGATATAGTTGTCCCTTTTCCTTTGAGGAAAAATATGATACAAATGTTGACATGAGGGGCCAGCAAATCTCACTTTTTATATCAGCTATAAATTTAAAAGAAATTTAGCAATTTAGTGGCTGTTTCTTTTCACCGGTGATGTCCATGCGGATGACCTCGTTTTGCCCTGCCATTGGCCTGCTCTGGTACAAAATGGAATGTAGTTTTCAGACTCTCTGGAGAGGTAAGGCCTATTGGCTCATAGCTTGGAGGGGCAAATGGGACAGGGCCACACCTTCCACAGCTCAGGCAAGGCCCCGTGGGAAAATGCTGACAGTTCAACCATGGGGGCTTATGATGCACTAGATGGTCTGACTCTCACCCAAGACAATGCAGACATTTCCCCTCCTGCTCCCTGGGAATGCTGCCGAAACACAGCATTCATCAGTTCTCTGTGCGCCTGACTTTAGCTTCCCCTCCTGTCTGCGGACGAATTGGCTCATGTACTGATGTTTCTTTGTATACTCTCAGGTAATTGTTAACAGTCCCTTTGTGTGGACATTTGTCACAAGATGCAGGCTACGTGACAAGGAGTGTATATAAACCTGCCTCTAAAAAGCTCTGGGCCTCTGAGTGTCTTGACTCCACGGACCCTTACCCCCGACTTTGTCTCTCCTCTTTTATCTCTTAATCTCTCTCTCTCAACTGCAGATCGTGCCCCTTTTAGACCCTGTTCATTGCGAGGGCTGTCTCATTTAATCTCACAATAGCTGAATAATAACAAAGACTGTCCACTATCATTTCAGCATGAGAATGCATTAAGGTTTTAAAAGAGTTCGAAGTCTGGGAAATACAGAATTCTTTGATAGAACTGGATTTCCCATCCTTTTTTTTTTTTTAATTCTTAATCCCCTTCCTATTTGAAGCATCTCATTGTAAGCTGATTTGACTTTTCTCTCCTACTTTGCTGTTTCTTGGTTGCCTGGGCAAAACCATCCGGGTGTACTTCATCTAGGACTACCGCTCACATATGGTTAGTCAGCATGTCACGATTTGGAAGATTAACTACTTTTGATTTTCTTGCTCTTTTATGCAGTAGGCAGAGATAATTACAGCTTTCCTAAATCTTCAGCGTCTCAGTTCGAATGACAGCACGTGAAGTAGAAGAGCACAGGGTTCCTGGTCTCTGGACCAATTGTTGATACTTTCCCCCTACTCATCACCCCCAACCAAATGAAACTCAATGGCACTGAGTAAATCTGCAGGCACAGTGATCTTATAGGACAGCGTAGAACTGCCC